ACTTTTAGGAGGAAGGAGAATGGGCAGGCATGCCGCTCTGACAGTGAAGGTCACTACTTGATAGTTGGTTTGCCTTCAGATAGGCTCGTGTACATTTGAAGGAAAGAATGAAAATCCAGCTCAGCGTTAGTAAGTAGAATGATGTTTTAAAAAAATTACGACGTTTAGTTTTGAGGAGTTTATGGTTAGAGAAGACTTACATACAGAGAAATAGTGAAAATGTTAGTATACCTTAATATAGGAACTGCTGTAAGCTTTTGTCCCTTATAAAACTACACTGACTCTATAAGACATCCAGAAAATACATAGATAGGAGGTGACAAGATGGCTTGGTGAAAGCCTTGTCACTCAGCCCTGAGGACCTGAGTTTGTAACCCAGGATACATGCAAATGTTGAAGGAGGGAACTAATTGTACAATTGCCCTCTGACCTCCACATGTGTGCACTCCCATGTGTACGTCATGTTATTGGTACATACAATAACATAAAATGCAGAAATGTGAGAGAAAGCTTATGTTCTACATTTTCATGAATTTTTGGCATATTTTCTCACACGGTTATAGCTATGTTATGTTAATTTTTTTCCTTTTGTTTTGCTAGAGACACTTTCTCCCTTTTATAACCCATGCTGGGTTTGCACTGCTGATTCTCCTGTCTCAGCCTCCCACCTGCTCAGCCTCCTACGTGCTTAGATTACAGATATGCAAGTTTGAACATTTTCTGTCAAACTCCGTTCTGTCAACTTCTCCGTTTGCATTTCTAAGTTCTTTATCCATTTACCTATTAGCATCCTTTTAGTTTTATTAATTTATCTGAACTCCTTAGAAGAGCTGTACTTTAAAAAAACAGTTTCATTTAAACTTTTCGTGTATTGCATTTTATTTGTTTTGCATACCTGTATGTGCATGTCTACTGTGGTGCTCACGTGAAGTCATGTGGTGCCCACGTGGAGGTCATGTGGTACTCAGGTGGAGGTCATGTGGTGCCCACGTGGAGGTCAGAAGACAACGTGGAGTCACTTTTCTCCTTCCCTGTGTGGGTCCTGGGGAGTGACCTCAGGTCTTCAGGCTGGTGGCAAGCACTTTTGCCTACTAAACTATTTCAGTGGCCCCATACAAACCTAATCATCTGGATTGTGATAGGTTCTGATCTCTCTCTCCCGTCCCCTCCTGTTGGTATATATGTAGAGTGTATGCAGGTCAGAGGATAACCCCAAGTGCCTCAATTCTTACCCTCCATCCTGCGTGTAACCTGACCTGTTTTTGCTGTTGTGTACAAAGGCTAACTAGCCTACTAGTTCCAAGCTTCATGGGATTCTCCTGTCTGTCCTGTATCTCACCATAGGACACTGGATGATAGGTACCAGTTCTGAGGACAAACTCAGGTACTCGTGTGATGCAGGTCATGTTGTCCACTGAGTTGCCTTCTCATCCTTGATTTCTGAAACTAAAAAAGTGTGTGTGCGTGTGTGTGTGTGAGAGAGTGTGTGCACACGTGTATGTATGTGTAAGAGTGTCTGTGAGAGTGTGTGTTTGTGTGAGAGTGTGTGTGTGAGAGAGTGGTGTGTGTGAGAGTATATGTGTGTATGTGTGTGAGAAAGAGTATATGTGTGTGTATGAGAGAGAGAGAAAGTGTGTGTGTGTGTGAGAGAGAGAGAAAGAGTGTGTGTGTGAGAGAGAGAGGGTGTGCATGTGCGTGTGTGTGTATGAGAGAGTGTGTGAGAGTGTGTGTGTGTGAGAGAGTGTGTATGTGTGTGCATGTGTGTGAGAGAGGGAGAGTGCGTGTGTGTGTGAGTGTGTGTGAGTGTATGTGTGTGAGTATTGTGCGCGCGTGTGTGTGAGTGTGTGTGTTTGTGTGTATGAGAGTTTGTGTGAGTGTATGTGTGTGAGAGTATTGTGCACGAGTGTGTGTGTGAGAGTGTGTATGTGTGTGCAGACGTGTGTCCGTGTGCATGCATGCCTGCACGCAGGTGCCTGCAGAGGCCAGAGTAGTCAAATTCTCAGGAGCTGGAGTTCCAGTTACCCAGTTTGAGGTCAGTGCTATCCTTCAACAGTGTGGGATCTGAGGGTTGAATTCAGCGGTTTGTTGGCAAGTGCCTTTACCCACTGAGCCACTGTTTTCTGATTTTTAAGCTTATAAGTTCTCAGCTTTCAGAGACCTTATAACTTGTTTTGTTACAGTCTTTTGGCTATGGCTATTAGATCTTTGTAAAATTTATTTTGAAGAAGCAGACATATTCTTAATAGAGCCTTGAGGTTTTATATAGGCTTTATAGTTATTAAAGTATAGTTTTCAGAGCTGGAGAGATAGCTCAGAAGTTAAGAGCACTGCTATTCTTCCAGAGGCACTGGGGTTTTGAGTCCCAGCTATAAATTCTAGTTTCAGGTAATCTGCTGGCCTCTGCACGCACTGAACATAGGCGGTCCACAGAGAAACAGGCAAAGGATCCATATACATAAAATAAGAGGAGATGGGTGTGCTAGAGAGATGATTCGCCAATTTAGCAAACTTACTGCTCTTATATTGGGTTTTGATTCCCAGCATCCACATGGTATATCAGAACCACCTGTAAATCCATTTTTTAGGATTCCAGCATGCTGGCAAAACATTTATACATGTGCATAAATCTAAAACAAAAAGGAAAAACATTTTAAAAAGAAACACTGGAAGAAAAATACCACTTTAAAGCTGCTTTTCAGTTATTTCTGTAAGCAATGATTCTTGGTTTATTGTGAGTTTTAAAGACAATGGCAGGTAACAAAGAATCTTTAATAACAATATATTTTAATAATAAAAGTGTTATCTGACGGATCTAAACTTTATCATAAAAGTTAAAAATTTATATAATACTTGTGACTAGCCTTCTATTAATATATTGAAAGCATGTATAATTTTTTTCTGGAAATAGCGTTTACTCACTAAGAAAATTATGGCAGAAATCTGACTAAACACTGAAAGAATTCTAGACTCTTCAGACAGCCTGATGTTTTGAAAAAGCTTTGTGCTTTGGCAGGAGCCCAAGAGAGGAAGTGCCTACATCTGCTACATTCTAGAAGCTTTCCCCAAATCACTGTAAGGCAGCCAAGAAAACTATTTCACTACTGTGTAGTTCTGGAAGTATCTGGAAATTTGTGGCAAACTTGAGAGAGAAGATATAGGAGCTCTTCCCAAATGCCATTTTATTGTGGTGATCTTTTTCATTGAGATTCAACTTAAGGGAGAAGATGAAGGTCCTTTTCAGCTTTTGTGGATTTCAGTTTGGCCTCTGTTGAAGCCTGTTGGTTTAGACAGATCTGCATGGAAAAGATCAGAGCAGTGTCTACAAGACAGGCTGGCAAGTCAACCTAACAGATAGGAATCTGCCTCTGAGGCAAGCCATACTACTGTAGTAAAGTACTCTGCTGTACAGCAGAGGAAGCTCGTGGGTTTTGTAGGGGAGGAGGAGGCGGATAAGGGCGGTTAATGTGTAGAGCAAGGTGGAGCCTTTCAGTGGTTACTCAATACCCTCATTATCATGAATAGTCCTCACTAGAAAAGACTGCACCAGGGGCAATGGCAAAAGGAGGCAGGGGTGGTGAGAGGCTCTGTGATTAACAGACTGTGAAGACCAGAGTTCAGTCCCCAGAATGCAGATATTATGCCAAGTGTACCCGCAGTGTGCCTGCATTCCCAGAACAAGCTGGCTACAGGGACTGCTAGCCATTTGAATGAGCTCTGGGTTTGGTTGAGAGAACCTGCCTCTCAGTAATATAGACGAGTAATTAAGGGAGATTCAGACACCAGCCTCAGTATATGCATCTCACACACACAAGAATGGAAAAAGAAAACAAAAATTATCAAGAAGAACTTTGTTACCAGGTTGAACGTGGGAGAAAAGTCACAGCTATGTACAAGGCTTGGGTGGCTTTATTTTTTCAACATAGAACACAGAAGTAAGAGAAAAAGTACAACAAAAACAAAAAAAAAAGGTAATAGCAAAACCTTCCTCCTCTAAAGCTAGCCCTCAGAACTATATCTTTAAGAGCAATTACTAGTTTAAATGTACAGGACTCTTCATTCTTTTGGTATTCTCCACAACTTAAATAGCACTGTAGTTGGGGTATAGCTGAGTTGATATAGTACTGACTTATCATCCTCTGGGTTCCATCTCCAGCACCACCTAAATGGGGCATGTGGCACATACCTGTAATCCCAGTTATCAATAGGGTCAGAATTCATAGTTCTCCTTGGCTCTATAGTAAGTTCAAGGCCAGCCTGGATACATGTGATCCTGTCTCAAACAAAAGATAGCATAGCTTCATTCATGTTTAATTAATATACCAATACAGTCCCACCTTTTTCATCATTCATGATTCAGCGCTTTCACAGAGTTATGGAATAATCAGTCACCTCCAATTTTTATCACTTCTACAACTTTGAATTTTAAAGTTAGAACCATACTTGAGAAAGATGGGTTAAGTTAGAAATTTTAAAGATCTCTGAATTTTTTTTCTTTTAAGCCATTTCTAGTATCTTTAAAGTGTATCGGTGATCTCTAAAGTATATTTTTGTGGGGCATTCATGTTTTACAGCTAGACAAAAGGGAAACATTTTCATACTATATAAAAAGGCTCATCTGGGACTTGAGAGATGGCTCAGCTGTTCACATTTTCTGCTCTTCCAGAGGACCTGAGTTGTAGCCTCAGCACCGTCTCTAGTGGCTCTCAGCTGCCTGTAATCCCAGCTGTAGGGCATCTGATGCATCTGGCCTCGGAGGACACCCACACTCACGTGTTCATCACTGCACACATAGACACATATGCACAATTAAGAATAATTATAAAAAGCCACACTGTTTCGTTGCTCTGTTCGTGATAACAGGGAAACAAATGGGTTGAAGTTTTTCTATAGTATGGAGCATCGAAATTTATTAAAATTATAAACCAGTTATTAAATTGATTTATAAAAATTAACATCAATTCTAGGGGCAGCCTAGAGACTAATTGTTGCTGTTCTCGTAGGTGCCTGAACCTGTGAAGTGCTCCAAGATGATCTGGGGTGTTTTAGTGATGGGGATTCTACTTCCTCAGTCTTTAGCCCACCCAGGCTTTTTTACTTCAATTGGTAAGTCTTAGCCAACTTACTAGGTTTTACATTTAAAATTGCATGCTTTTGTATTTGTAAATTGGAAAAAAAAACCCACTATATTGCTGAAGACTAACCTCGGTTTACTCCTTGCCCATCTAAAAGGGCCATTTAAAAAATTCCTTGATGTCTGTATGCCTTTCTTCATTCTTTAAAGAAGACGTAGTTTACTGAGCACCCTACATGAGTGTGGTGGTTATAGTACTCTCTGCCTTGGTTTTCTTCAATTCACCCTGATTACAGAAGTGATATGGATTATGCTTAGAAACTTAGAAAATTTAGAAAAGCATACCAAAAAGTTAGTGAACGTTGGGGTATGACGGCGCCCAACTATGTATGACTTGAATCTCAGAACTGGAGGCACAGGTAGACAGAGCTCTATGAGTTTGAGGTCAAGCATGGTCTCATACTGAGGTCCAGGCTAGCCAAGTCTACATAGTCAGGCCCTGTTACAAAAACACAACACAAAAAGAAAGCTAGCGCTTAATCTCCACACAGAGTTAATGCATATACATACATTTTAATGCATAGATGTATAACTGCTCTGTGCATCACATTCTAATATGACTTTCTGTCATTGTAAACGTGGTATTGTTTCCACACCATCATTTTAAAAAGTATTATAAAAATAGTGTGTTGAAGCTGGGCAGTGCTGGTGCATTCTTTTAATCCCAGAACTTAGGGCAGAGGAGGTAGATCTTTGTGAGTTCAAAGACAGCTTGGTTCCCGGAGAGCCAGAGCTGTATCACTTGTCTGGTGTGAGACTTTTGGCTTCTGCTGCACTATCAATGCTGGGTCCTCACCAGGACTCCTCTTGGATAGACTATTGCTGCTGGATCATGGAGCTCCTGCAGCTTTGGATCTGTTGGACTGGCACCTTCCTGAGCTCCAGCAGTTCATAGATGGGTAGATGTTGGGGTGGATCTTAGCCTGCATGGTAGCTCTCTCATGTTCTCTCTGCCCACCAGCTCTCCCAAACCCATAGCACTAGGATGAGCTCTCCAGCGTTGCTCTGGCTAGTTCACCCATTGCTGTAGCTGGCAAAGGGCAGAAGCTGCTCTCTGGCTCTCATGCCCTCAGGCTGGTTCACCTACACCTAGGCTTGCAGGGGCAGCTCTAGCATGCTGCCCAGGTGAGGTGCAGGAGCTGTCTTATTTCTTAAAAATAAATTTTAAAACTTTTGCAACTTTTTCAAGTGTGGATTTTTTTTTTATTGATTAAAAAGTTGATCCCAATTTAACTTGAAAACTAAAGATGGGCTATAAGAGCAGGGGCAGAAAAGAAGATACATTAATTCTAATAAAGTACTGTTGTTTATTCATTTAGTTTGCAATGAAAACACCATTTTCCAACATAGTCCAAGTTTGCAAAATTTATTAGGTCCAAAAACTAGAACCAGAACTTATTAGAATATTATTTGGGTTTATTTTTAGTTTATCTGATAGTGGAAAAAAAGGAAGGAAGGAAGGAAGGAAGGAAGGAAGGAAGGAAGGAAGGAAG